TGCACGACATGTCCGCAATAACCGCTGCAGAAGCTGCAACAGATGACAGCCGATTGTCGGGCCAAAAGCATGAGCCGTCAACGAAGATGTGCAAGGCAGTGCAAGTGGTGGGATGTGTGTGGCAAAGAGGTTGCACATGTAGCTGTCTGAGGAGAGGCCAAGCGTCGGAACACAAAGGCACCAAGCCAAACCGCCAAACAGCTTCTGGCAATCTGCGCAGTTGCGACAAAAGTCCAGGGAAGTTTGAGCGGTAACCTTCATAGGCCTGACACTCGAAGATACGGTGGAACTTGGAATCTGGCAACTGGCAATTCGGGCACGACGAAGCTCTGGAAAAATCCCATTTGGACACGATGTCGTTTGTGTAATTTCCTCCATTTGCAAAGAACTTAACAATGCCCAACTCATCAGGCTGCAGTTGCGACAACAATCGCCGCATTCCTTGAAGATCGACCGCATGCAAGTTGAAGCCAGGTCTTCTTTCTGTTAATTCAGCACACACCGTTCGCATCCAAGTTTGGGACAATGCAAAATGTAGAAACTTTTCCGTGCACCTCAACCAATCCAAGGACCCAAACCACGGATGAATCAAGGCAGCACCCTCAACAGTCCAACCGAGGAGCAGCGCTGATCGTGCCAAAGACCCGGCTGGCCGATTTGGCAACCCGCCCTTGTTCAAAAGCCTAAGAAACTCCTCCTGAAAGAAAGAGAATTTCCAAAGAAATCGACGCCAAAAGCAACAGCGCTGCAGAAGATCCAGAAACTGCGGGTCGCAGTCATCCCCCGTCAACGCCAACGCAATCTTTCCGTTTTCCCCAGGACCACTGCACCCCAGGGCTTTAGCTGTGGCAGAACGCCATGTTTTGAACTCCGACTTTGAAACCTGTAGCAAGGCCTGTCCAAAACCGCATTTGGAAGAACACCCCGCAAAGGCCAACCGTTGTTTGAAGCACATGGGCAGTTTAGACATACGGACCTTCGTCATTGAATCTTTCATTTTGCAGAAGCGCGATTTCCAAATACTTTTTTGTCGACGACAGGTGTAATTAACATCAACCCCTAGGTCCTTGGCATGCCAGGCAAGCGGAATGCGCACTCCATTGTACAAGACCCGCTGCAGCAGCCTACGAAACTTACGCGAGGTGGCCCATACCCAAGACTTTTCGGGGGACAACTCGAGCAGGAAAGCATCACACAAGCGTCCTAGGACCTGGTAGGCGGCCATACAAGCATGAAGCGTTTTGGATACAAAAGACCAGTTGTCAGCGAAAACAAAAGCGCAAGTACCGTTTTCGCTAAGCACCTCGTGCGCTAGGTAAGCCATGCATGTCATTGCGATGACGAACATGCTGCAACCTTCAGGAAATCCGGTTTCGCTATGTTCGGCCACCCCCGCCATGCCCTTGACAAGGAAAGTGCGAGTGAATGATGCCAACATGTTTTCATACGCCTGGACATAACATGGGTTGATCCCCAAATGGATCATCATCCACAGTAGCGGGAAGCGCGGTAAGGCGTTGAAACACTTAACAATGTCAAAAACAGCCCCAAGCCTAGGCAAGCACCCAAGGTCAAAAGAACTCTCCAAGTAATGGGCAACCATGGCTGTAATATCAGTGACTGACATGCCCTTCACCCCTCCAGCAATTGTCGGGGGAAGCTTTGACGAGAGCCATTCAACAGTTTCAGTGGACCTGTAGCGTGCCCAACATCGATACAGTCGACTCAGGATGGTTATTGGACGGATTTGCAAGGCGGTACAGGCACCGTCTGTTTTTGGCAAACACACCACGAGGGCAAACACTAGCGCTTCAGGCCAAGCCGCCCCTGCTTCCAGTGCGTGGAAGAGGTCAAAGAGTGCTGGTAGCATAGAAACGGGGATTGACTTGATCTCTTGAACTGAAAATCCGCAGGAGCCGCGGGCTGACCTGGATGAAACGCCTTTCAGCATGCGAACCCACCTGGACACCTGAAAAGGAGCATAAGGCATGGGCTCAAAATCGGGGAGCCTAGTATCAATGAATGCAATCGCGTCATCCCAATCGTCTGCCGTGGCGCTAACATCCCTGTGAAACCATTTCCCCCAAGTTCCACGAATCTCAGCATCAACCTCTGCGGGATGAACTAAGGTTTTCCTAAGGACAAGTTTCGGTGGCCACTCCTTAGGCGTCAAGCGTGGGTGCACAGACACTGCCGACTCATGAACGCTTTTCACAAGAAACTCCTGACCATGATATTCCAAAGTATCACCGACCCTGACATCGGGAACAGATTTCAAAGGGATCTTAGTGCGACCAGCTTTAGGCCAGCGGACCTTCTTGCAAGACAACGGGATCTCTTGCACGACTTGAGACAGAGGCGGCTGGTCAAAGGATCGCAACTGCGCAAAAGCCTTAGCCCCGCCCTTTTTCCAATCTATCAACAGTTCCTCACGGGTTTCCACGGCTTTTGTCAAAATGTAGAGACGCTGTTGTGTCTCAAAAAACTTCCGGACCACCGCATAAATTTCTTCGCATAAAGCATTGGGGGGAACAGACAGACAGACAGACAGACAGACAGACAGACAGCCAGGCAGACAGACAGACAGACAGACAGACAGAGCCAGACACAGGCAGACACAGACAGACACAGACAGACACAGAAAAAAAACAGACAGACACAGCCTGACACAGACAGACACATACAGACACAGACGAACACAGACACAAATACACACATACACACACAAACAGAGACACACACACACAAACGCACACAGACAAACACACACACACACATGCACACACACACACACATGCACACACACACACACATGCACACACACACACACATGCACACACATACACACGCACGCACAGAGAGAGAGAGACGCACACAGCACACAGACACATAGTCAGACACGCACACACACAAACAGACACACACACATAGACTAACAAAAAGACACAACCAGGCACACACACACACACAGACACACAAACACACACAGACACACAGACCCAGATACAGACACACACACACACACACCGACACACAGACACAGATACAGACACACACACACACACAGACAGACAAACACACACCGACACACAGACACAGATACAGACACACACACACACACACAAACAGACACACACACACACACACATACGCACATACACAGGCAATGAGAACTTCGAGCCGTTCGTAGTCGAAGAAGTCGAATTTTGCCAACAAACCCTATGTTGTCTAAGTCATTTATGCAACTTATGCTAAGTCGAACCATGCACACTTAATAACTCAAACAATCACATACATAACATATTATTTGCATGAATTCACTTAGTAACTGTATCAACTCAGATACAGCGAATACACAACATATAAGTACATAGCACACTTATGACTCCGTTGTAACTCCACTTGCCTTACATACCAAGCCTCTTAAACATGTGATCCACTTAAGAACCCCAAGGCCCGCCCAAGTAAGGTAGATAACTTAGTATTATACATGTATCATGAAAAACACAAAACACAGTGTGTACAAATCTCAGAATTCGAATCCGATGTACACAGCACTGGATCCTCAAGTGTGAATCATCTTCCTCTGCGATTTGCAGCTCAGGAATTCTGGGTGGCTACTTAGCTTCTCGCTGAGGCTCGCTTTTGCAGGGAGGCTCTGGATATGGGTTTCTGATCTCCCTCTCCGATGTGACCCGAGCCGAACTAGCACCAGGAGACGGACAAGGTCGGTTTGGCCTTCGCAGGGACATTGAATTTCGGATCTGCCCGGGAATTTGGGGTCCCGAGTCGTTTAGTGGGTTTGGGGTGTCGAGGTACGCGTTGCGATGAACTCTTGTGGGCGCTTTGCGCTTGAATACGTGGGAAGTCATCGTTGACATAAGCATGCGAAACACACTTCAACACAAAATCAAATCTGCAGAAAAAGAGAAGGACACATTCAGATTTGTAATTGTTCGGCACTTTCAAGACATCAACAAACACACGCATAGACGCGGCGGGTAATCGACCGATCTAGATAGAAAGATCGACAGATACTTACTTGGCTGACTTCTGAACCCCTCCAAAAAGTTAAACTTTTAGTCTCCTTATTATAGTTATATAGAAACCCAAAAAGTTAAAGTCCTAAGAGCCAACCAGAAGAACACCAAGGTTAAATACATGAACATATAGATCGGTACATAGATGGATCGATAGTAGGTAACAGATGTCGGTCAGTTGGTGGTTAACTAACTAGTTCGACACTACAAGACCACAGATCGACAAGATAAAATGTATATCATGGACCGCACATACCCTTCGCAGAAGTGAGGATGAGGAGAACGAGCCCTACGGGCCCTACACGCAAGAGTGCTGGAGAAGGTCCTTCGAGATAGAGCAAAGATGCAAGCGTGACTGCAGAGGAAACATCTTCAAGCATATCCTAAAGCCTGAAGCCTAACTCCAAAGCCGCAAAATCAAAGCACTATCAAGCCTGACAAACACACACCTGTGCAAGACAAAACAGTTCAGACCATAAGCCAACCAAAATCAACTCTCTCTCTCTCTCTCTCTCTATATGGGTAGTTTTCTAAATTAGGGTCCCTTATTGGGTCCTTCTTATAAGGGTGCCGTACTATACTGGGGACCTAAAAAGGGACCCTAATTTAGAGAACTACCCATATACTCGCAGGTTGAGGAATCCAGCACAAAACTCCTGAACCCGGCAACGACTTAGGGGAACATTGCGGGGCGAGATGTGCCTTTTGGATTCTAGGAGAACGTTACACCCCGTTTCCAAGCCCTAGAGAGCCTACACACCCGTATACAGCCCTATAGACACCGCGATGAAGCCAACACAAAGAAGCACTGAACGCTTCTTCAAAGACAGGCAAGGAAGCCTGCATTAACGCTCCGGATCCCTCGGCCTGCGCCAGGCGACAGCGGTCGAGGCCTCAGCGGAACTCTGGCAGTCAGATTAGGGTGCAAGATTTTTTGGGCCTGAACCCTAAACTCCTTGAGCCCTAAACTCCAATCCCTAAACCCGAAACCCTCACTTCCCTCACGTCCCCAACACCTAAACCTAAACCCGTATTCGGCTTCCTGCTCGATGCCGGGTGTCGGGTCTTCTTTGGGTTCGGGCTAGGCATAGCACGAGGTGCTAGGGTTCGGCTCTAGCATACTAACTGGGTTTAGGGTTTAGGGTTTAGGGTTTAGTATCAAAGTATAGCGAAACAGCATAGTAGTGCATCAGCATAGCATAATAGCATAAAAGCACAACCCCATCATAGGATAGCATAATAGCATAACAGTGTAACAGTATAGCATGATAGCATAATCTCATAACAGTGTAATAGTAGAATAGCATGATACAGTATATGAATAGTATCTTGTATGGTGAAGTTTTGTATGGTGGAGTATAGTTTGACATAGTGCAAACGCCCTGTGGTCGATCCGGCTACAATGCAGTCCGAGCGGGACAGGGATCAAGAAAAGAAAGTCCTGCGCATGTGCCGCATGCTGCCATCAATCCATATATCCAAATGCCACCCCCCTAAGGCCCCAAACCGCAGTGTTCAGACTGAGATAACCACCCTATCTACTTACACTCTAAACCATGCTAAGCTTTTGTAGAAACTCTAAGCCTCGAAACCCTCAGCCCAAGACTTCAAATCCGAAACCTTTCCAACTGAGCATGGCGCCAGTCCAGACATCTGGCTTGCTCAATGTAGGTCAGCTTGGGGAAATGCGATCGCAGGTAGGCATTGCCCTGATCAGCCGGACACTTCTACATGCAGGGCGCAAGTTGAGCACGAGAAGGCACCATACGTAACTAACAGACTGAAAGGCTAGGTTCTTCTGTGGTTAGGGACACAGACGGAATGTTCATGGAAGACAAGTTGGTCATAGTTCCGATTCACAGACGCAGTTACTCAACGGACCTGGGACACTTCGCAGTGTCAGGGCTTTCGTTGCGCAGCAGAGGAAACATTGCATAGAGCTGGGTATGTGTGGAGAAGCATCACATCGAGCTTACACCAGCCAAGTGCACACCACCATCTGCACTTAAAAAACAGCGCAAGAGCACGAGGAGCAAGCCAGCCCGCAAAACTGCAAGTATATATGCAGTGTACATATGCATGCGTATATACAAAGTAAGTAAGCAGAACATACGAACAACACAAATAACCCTACACATTTGTGTATGTACAAGTTAAAATCATACATATGTATATACAGATATATAGAAATGTGCTCTGGAGCAGGAACTTTTACAGAGCTATGAACCCTCAACATTCACGGAACCTTCATCCCCACGCCCTGAAGCCTGAAACCCCAAGACCCGAAGGCACCCCAAATTCCCCAACTCCGCCCCGAACAAAAACAAAATAGCTTCATTTGCCTTTATGCTGTAAGCCGTCGCATAGACCGAGGCCATGCATGTCTGCGAAAGACGTGCGTGCGCAACAAATACATACCTACCTACCTACCTACCTACCTACCTACCTACCTACATACATACATACATACATACATACACAAATACATACATACCTACCTACCTACCTACCTACCTACCTACCTACATACAT